GTGGTAGGCCCGGTCATTGAGGCCTGTTGGTCTCTGATGGATAGGAATTAGTGGGTTTAAACAGATGAGTGGTATACTTAGTTCTGTATATTCTGTGCTTAAAACAATTTTTATGTCGTGTGAGAATGGGCGTGGATGTAAGGTCTGAAGGAAGGGAGGACAATTAGAAGACCAGTGAAGTAATACATGTAAGTGCGATCTAATAACAGCGCAAAAAAGGGCAGTGGGAACAAGAATGCAGAAGGGACTCAAGAGAAAAACATTTCTGAGGAAAATGTGACAGGATTTGTTACTGGTTAGCTTTTAGTGGCAAAGAGAAAAAAAGACTACAGCGATGATAGATATATAGATGGCTTTTGGCTTTGATGAGTGATGCTATGGTTGGTATCACTAGCCCAAAGAAGAAATGTATGGAGAAAAGGAACTCTGGGTCCCGGGAAGTGTAAGATGCAGCTCATTATGAAATAAGCATGTATGTTATTTCATCTTGTTCTCTTCCTTTTGGAGCGAGAACACAGGGCATCCTGTTGCAGTATAACTCTTGGCTGTCTCTGTGTGCACTCTGACAAGCCTGAAGTACATGCGGTAGCACGCTGACTGCCTGTGTTGTGATCAGCATGTAATGGTGGGAATAATCTATACTTCAGAATCCATTCTGCGTTAAGTCTATGTGGATGTTATTGTTAGCCACATTTTTAAACTTTTTATTCTGAGATATTTCTAGATTCACAAGTAGTTTTAAGAAATAATACAGAATGATCCCAGGCACTTTTAACCCATTTCCCCCAATGTAGTATCTTGTAAAACTGTAGTGCATTATCACAGCCAGAATACTGACGTTGATAGGTGAAGAGCAGAACATTTCCATCAGAAGAATCCCTCGTATTGTCCTTTTATGGCCACAGCCACTTCCCTTTCTCCCTGAGCTCTAGAAACCTCTAATCTGCTCTCCATTTCTATAATTTGGAATAACAGAATCAATAATGTTACCTAAATGGAATCATAAAGTATGTAACCTTTCGGGATTGGCTTTTTTCACTTAGCATAATTCCCTGTAAATTCATCCAGTTGTTGCATGTATCAATAGTCCTTTTCTTTTTACTGCTGTTAGTATTCATCATATGGATACTCCACATGTATTTAAACATTTTCCTGTTGAAGGGCATTCTTTCCAGTTTTCAGCTACTAGAGATAAAGCTATGATGAACATTTGCGTACAGATTTTGTTTGAACATTAGTATTCATTCCTCTGATATAAATGCTAAATGGTGCAACTGCTGGATTATGTGATAGTTGCCTATTTTGTTTCATAGGAAATTACTGAACTGTTTCGAAAGTGGCTATATCATTTTATATTCCCAACAGCAGTGTATGAGTGATAAGTTCTCCTGCATTTTCACTATTTTTTAAACTTTAGCCATTCTGATGGGCACGTAGAGATAACGTCATTGTGGTTTGAATTTGCATTTACCTAATGTCTAATGATATTAAACATCTCTTTATGTGCTTATTGCATACAGCTGGTATTAATGCTTCTGTAAATTGTAAAATTCTCCAATGGAATCTCCTGGGCCTGGAGAGTTTTTCTTTCCTAAGAACTTTTAAAATATGTAATTTCTTTAATGGTTGTAAGACTATTCAAGTTGTCTGTTTCATTTAGTTGAGTTCAGTGGTTTGCGGTTTTTGGGGAATTGTTTTTCTTCTAACTTGGTGAATTTATGACCATAAAATTTTTATAGTATTCAGTTATCCTTTTAATAGTTGTAGGATCTGTAGTGATATCCCATGTTTCATTCCTAATATTGGTAATTTGTGTATTCTCTTTTCTTAATCTTTGTCATTGCTAGTTTAGCAAAGAATCAGCTTTTTTAAAAGTGATTTTTCTCTATTCTGTGTTCAGTTTTATTCTGCTTTTATATTTACTGTTTCCTTTCTTATGCTTGCTTTAAGTTTTTTTGCTTCTTCTTCTGGTTTCTTACAAGGAGGACTTCAGATTATTGGCTTGAGGCCTTTAATTTTTTTCTAATATAAGCATTTAGTGTTCTCAATTTTCCTAAGCCCAACTTAGCTGCATCCCACGTATTTTGATACGTTATATTTTCATTTGTGTTACATTATTATTTATTTCTCCTTGTATTAATTTTTTTTCACTTTTTTGGGGATTTCAGGTTTTGTTTGACTCAAGCTATTTAGATGTATGTGTTTAATTTCCAGGTGTTTGGAATTTTTTTGTTGTCTTCCGGAAATGCATTGTTAGCTTGATTACATTATTGTTAGAGAACATACTCGGTATAATTTCAGTTCTTTTAAATTCATTGAGGTTTGTTTTATGGCCCAGGATTTGGTCTAGCTTGGTGAATGTTCTAGAGGAACCAGGAAAAAAAAGTGTGTATTGTGCTTTTCTAGGTAGAGTGTTCTATAGATGTCATTCAGATCCTGTTGGTTGCTCATGTTCTTTTATATCCTTGCCGATTTTTCTCTCTAGGAGTTCTGTCAGTTGTTGGATGTGGGATGTTGAAATCCTCAACTATAGTTATGCATTCATCTGTTTCTCTTTTCAGCTTAATTTGGCTTCGTGTGTCTTTTAGCTCTGTCATTTTGATGTGTTCACCTGGCAGATTGATCTCTGTGTCTTCATGCATTGTCTCTCTTTTCTCTAGTCATTTTCTTTGTTCTGACATATATTTTGACTAATATTAATATAGCCAGCCTTTTTAAATAATTGCCTGGTGTATCTTTTGTCATCCGTTCACTCTCAACCTGGCTGTGTCATCCTATTTAAAGTATTTTTTGTGTGTGTGGAGAGCATATTATTTCTTCAATCCACCCTGCCAATCTTATAATTTTAAATGGTATATTTAGGCTATTATAGCGAAGGTAATTATTGATGTTTTTTATTTAATTTTTATCTTTTTAGCTCCTAATTCTAGTTGCACTTTTTCTCTTATTTAGACATTGTTTTAGGATTCTATATTTGTTTATGTACAGTGTTTTTTAGTATATTGTTTTATGTAGCTTCCTGGTAGTGACTCTGGGTATTACATTGTACATAGTAACTTCTCACAGTCTGCTGGTATACACGTTTACCAGTCTGAACAAAGTATAGAAACTTTATTTATATTTAAGCTCTTTCCCTACTCCACTTTAAAAATAGAATTATCTTAGGTATTTCCTCTATATCCCCTAAGCACCATATCAGATGGTGTTGCAGTTTTTCTTTAACCATGAAATGTGATTTATGAAACTCATAAGAAATAAAATAGTATTTATATTCACTCCTATTTTAACCTATTCTGATCTTCTGCTTTCCTCTTTGTAGTTCCATGCCTTATTCTGCCTTTTTTTTTTCTTTTATGAACTTTCTAGCCACCATTCTTTTAGGTTAAGTCAGCTGGTAACAGACGCTCTTAGTTTTCTTTAGTCTGAGAATGTCATAATTTCCCTTTCCTTTCTGAAGCATATTTTCTCTGAGTATAGAATTTTGAGTTGGCAGTTCCTTTGTTGCAGCACTGGAAAGGTGTGCCACTTTCTTCTGACCTCCATGGTTTCTGATTTTTCTCTCTGCTGTTCAGATTTGGTAAATGATACTGATTCTCATCATGCTTACTGATTCGGTCTTCTGTCTTTTCCTCTGTACTGCTGAGCCCATTTGGCAAGTTTTGTATTTCAGCTATTTTTCAGTTCCAGGATTTTCATTTTGCTCTTTATATCCCTTTTTTTTTTTTTTTTTTTTTTTTGGATGAGACTCAATTTTTTGTTTGTTTCAAGCATGTTTGTAATTGCTTGTTGAAACATCTTTAAGATGGCTGTGTTGAAATTCTTGTCACATAATTCCAACATCTGATTCATCTGTCTTTTCATATTCAAGCTATAATTTTCCTGGTTCTTGGTATTAGTGATTTTTTATTGTATTATTGTTTCTTGTTTTGAGCATTGTGTTACAAGACTCTGCATCTGATTTAAATCTTCCGTTTTAGTACACCTCTTCTGATACCATGCCAGCCAAGTAGGGGTGGAAAGCTAGGTTCCGTATTTGGCCTCTGCTGATAGCCTGAGAGGGAAGTGCTTTCCTGCTGCTCCCTCCTGGTATCCCCTGACACCATGGAGAGAGACCCTGTTATCACTGGGCCGAAAACGAAAGCTCTAGCTCCTCGCTCAGTCTTCTCTGATACCACCCCAGCAGGAATCAGTGGTAGTGTCTCTTTGTAGCCAGGCAAGGGTAGGAGTTTAGCATCCTCATTCAGCCTTTGCTGACTAAGGCAGGGATGGGGCCGCAGATTGTTCCTGGGTGTTTGGCAGGAGCAGGGTGGTTATTGTCTCACATTTTTCTGTCTTTCAGGTCTATACCTTTCCTGGTTCTTTGGCTAAAAGGAAAAGGCTCTTCTTGGGGAATTTTGTTTGTTTGTTTGTTTGTTTTTTGTTTGTGGCTTTTGGCATTTCCAACAGCTTGGGATATGTTAAGAACCCAGCCTGTGGTATCTTAAGCAAAAAAGCAAGCCAGGGAATTCATTGTCATGCCATTCCTTAGGCCTTGTAATCCCTAGCCTGCCTGTCTTCTCTGTGCCTTCCAGAGCTTCATGTTTATTTTCTATGTAATATCTAGGATTTTAGCTGCATTTAGTAGAAGAATAAGATGTACATCTATTCATGGATTGAGTTTTTAAATGTATTTATTACTTTCGCTAGCATGTACTAACAGTTTTTAAAAATTAGGTCAGGAAAGTCTTGCCAAAGTAGTATTTGAGTGTCAAGAAAAGCAAAAACCAGCACAACCTATTGACGTGAGCTCTAATGGCCAAGTTTTTAGGATTTTCTAGAGTGGTAGAAGTAAAATTGTACCTTAGATATTTTATTTGTGGCATTTTGCATTTTAATCACCACCTTACTTTGATGAAATTAATGCAGTACTGTACTGTTTTGGCTATAGAAACCTGGCACAGTTGAGTTACAGCACAACAATTAGTTTTTGCTGTTCTAATGCACATTTCTCTTTCCTCCAGGGCTGGTGGACTAGGCCTCAATTTTGTTGGTGCCAATGTTGTTGTATTATTTGATCCTACTTGGAATCCAGCCAATGATCTTCAAGCCATAGACAGGTATAATGCTGACAACATTTAAAGTGATCTGCAAATACTTTTAATCTAAAAATACTCTTGAACTTTTAAGGTTGCTTATACTATGATTATGATTAGAAGAAAGGGGAAAACTTGTAAAAACATACGTTTAAGATAATCCTGACCTTCTCAATCCAAATAGCAGGCCGAAAATAGCCATATTTTTCATCCATCCCAGAATCCCATTAATTTGACAGAAATGACTTCAGAAGAAAGAATAAATTCCTTATACTGTGGGAAAATAGAATAGTTTCTGTACTAGTAGATCAGAAGTTTTGAGAAACTCCTGGGAGATAAAAAGCAAGTAGAATCTATCATCAGGATATCAGCAGAGAAATACTACAATCCTAAGTCTGCAGAAAAGAATACAGAGATTTCAAGCATGGGGTTGCAGCTACAGTATGTGGGTGTAGACACAGTGCATCCTTCTGGGAAGTTGTTAATGTGCTGACTCTAATACAGATTCCCCTCCCACACTCTACTTTAGAGGGGTTGGCCGTTAACAGGTACTCTTTGATTAAAGCTGAAAGAATGATTTTACAAATTTTATAAATAAATGGGGAATTGGACTGTAGAAAGGTTCCTAGAATGGGTGTTGGAACCAGATTATAAAGCCACAGCCAAGCCTGAAGGACTTCCAGATCTCCCAAGGGCATGAAAAGAGGAAATAGACCTGTTACCTGCATGGAAACACGGAGCAGCTTTCCAGTGATTCACTGAGTCATCGTGTTCATCGTGGAAACGCGGAGCAGCTTTCCAGTGATTCACTGAGTCATCGTGTTCATCATGGAAACACGGAGCAGCTTTCCAGTGATTCACTGAGTCATCGTGTTCATCATGGAAACACGGAGCAGCTTTCCAGTGATTCACTGAGTCATCGTGTTCATCATGGAAACACGGACCAGCTTTCCAGTGATTCACTCAGTCATCATGTTCATCATGGAAACACGGACCAGCTTTCCAGTGATTCACTCAGTCATCATGTTCATCAGGAATGGGAATGAAGAATTATGAAATGTTTTAGTAAAATCAGCCCAGCAGGAAAACAAAAGGACAAAGAGGAAAAGCCGGCGTGGAAGGGACTGAAATAAGAATAGGTGCCAAGAGAGAAAACTACATTAGAAAGTCAAGTTAGTTCCTGGAAATTAAAACTACTGCCAAAATAAAGTCACTCAGTAGAAGGTCGGGAAAAAATGGAGAGGCTAAAGGTAGTCATTGATATGGAAGATAAAAGGAATGAATATTTTTAAACATAAAAAGTCAAGAAACAAATAGATGTGAAATATGAATAAAGAGAAATTGAGGAAAAATCCCAGAAATCATCATATGTCTATTCCAGAAATAATGAACAGAGACTGGAGGACAGGGGAGATAATCAATGACAGGACTGGAGAAAATGTTTATTAATTTTGAAGGGATACTTAGTATAAAGTAGGAATAGTGACTGAGAGGGAGAGAAAACATACATGATAGTCATATTTCTAAGTTTCAGAGATAAAGGGAAGGGCTAAAAGATTCCAGAGTGAGAAACAGGGAGAGAATTATTTGTAAAAACTTCAACAAAAAGGAAAAGACACATTATCAACAAAGAAATGAGAGTCAGACTCAATTCAGCAGATCAGACATTGAAGAACATACATTTCGTCAGCATTATAGGATTCTAGATGACAACAGAGTTGTCAAAGTGAAAAAATTTATATGGCTATAAGCGAAAGAAAATTATTTTGACTTGCATTTATAATCTGTGGCTAAAATTTTAAGTCTAAAAAATTATAGTATGACTGAGCGGTTTCATGCAGTTATAAAGAAAGGATTCCCTAAAATATGAAGGGATGGTATGAAAAAATTAGTAACAATCAAGAGCTAAAATGTCATGTAATTTTGATAAAATATCAGAATAAGGGTAGGGGAAGAGTAAAATTGTGTTAGGTTTTTTCCCGCCCCCTCAGGAAAGGACCAGGATATCCCGGTCAGTTCTCAAATTGTGTGCCAAAAAATGTTTTAAAATACTAACAAAAAATTTAGGGGCAATTACTAAAAGAGTGAGTTATAATAATTACCTGGTACAGTTTCCAAAAACACAGATGCTCACACTCCACCCTGCAGGCATTCTGATTGCGTAGATGTAGAATGGGACTCAACATTTTACATTTTAAAAAACACCTCGGTTGTAGATCAGAGGACGCTATCAACAGAGTAAAAAGGCAGCCTACAGAATGGGAGAAAATATTTGCAAATCACGTATCTGATAAAGTATTAATGAAAAAAATGCTCATCATCACTGGTCGTTAGAGAAATGCAAATCAAAACTACATTGAGATACCATCTCACACCAGTAGAATGGCGATCATTAAAAAATCCGGGAGACAGCAGATGCTGGAGGGGTTGTGGAGAAATAGGAACACTTTTACACTGTTGGTGGCAATGTAAATTAGTTCAACCATTGTGGAAGACAGTGTGGCGATTCCTCAAGGACATAGAAATAGAAAACTTAATGCCATTGGACTGTACTCTTAAAAATAGCTAAAATGGTAAATCATATGATGTTTTACCACAATGACTTTTAAAAACCACCTACGATGATTACTATACAATTGGTTCTCAACTCCAATTTGAGAAACACTGGATATCAAGTGTAAAACTTCCAAAAGAAATGAGAGTACCAAGAAAACTTAATTATTTTAGTACATGATAGGAAATACATAGTTGTGTTGGGGAAGATAGAGGAAACTCAGAAAGCGTGACAAATGGTGTCAGAAGTAAATTCAAATGTAAATAGGAATATGTTAAAACTGTTTTTTGTTTTGTTTTGTTTGTTGAGACAAAGTCTCTCTCGGTCGCCCAGGCTGGAGTCCAGTGGCATGATCTCGACTCACTGCAACCTCCGCCTCCCAGGTTCAAGCGATTCTCATGCCTCAGCCTCCTGAGTAGCTAGGATTACAGGTGCCTGCCACCACACCTGGCTAATTTTTGTATTTCAGTAGAGACGAGATTTCACTGTTGGCCAGGCTGGTCTCTAAACTCCTGACCTCAGGTGATGTACCTGCCTTGGCCTCCCAGAGTGCTGGGATTACAGGTGAGCCATCACGCCTGGCGAAAACTCTTTTTAGAAAGAAGGAAAAAAGAAAAATCAGGGAGATGGTAACAAAATTAAGAATGGATGGCAATGTTAATATCAAACAAATTATTAACAGAATTAAAGACAAAAGGCATTAAGCAAAACAAAGAGGGCAACAATCCACCGGGAAGTTATGAAAGTCACTACATAAGAAAGCCAAAACACTTATACACGATGAGAAACAGATCCACAATTACGATGAGAAACTCCATCTATTACAAAATAACAAATTAACTAGGCTAAATAAGTATGTAAATTATTTGAATAAAAGTTATCTACCATAATTTAATAACTATATATACAGACACACCTCATTTTATTTTTATTGTGCTTTGTAAATAATTGCCTTATTTACAAATTGAAGGTTTGTAGAGATCCTGAGTCATGCAAGTCTTCCTGCACCATTGTTTCAACAGCATATGCTCACTTGTGTCTCTGTGCCACATTTTGGTAACTCTCACGTTATTTCAGATTTTTTTATTATCACATCTGCGATGATGGTCTGTGATCACTGATCTTTGAAGTTACTATTGTACTTGTTTTGGGGCACCATGAACCATGCCCCTATAAGACAGTGAACTTAATTGGTAAATGTTGTGTGTATTCTGACTGCTCCCCTTATTTGTCATTCCCCTGTCTCATTCCCTCTCCTCGGGCCTCCCTCTTCCCTGAGGCACAGTATTTAAATTATGACAATTAATAATCCTACAATGGCCTTTAAGTGGTCAAGTGAAAGGAAGAGTTGCATGTGTCTCACTTTACATCAAAAGCTAAAAATGATTAAGCTTAGTGAGAAGCTCATGTTGAAAGCCAAGACAGGGCAAAAGCTAGGCTTCTTGTGCCTAACAGTTTGCCAAGTTGTGACTGCAAAGGAAAAGTTCTTGAAGGAAATTAAAAGTGCTGCTCCAGTGAACACATGAATGACAACAAGAGCGCCAAACAGTTTTATTGCTGATACAAAGAAAGTTTTCGTGGTCTGGATCAAAGATGAAGCCAGCCACAGCATTCCATTAAGCCACAGCCTACTCCAGAGCAAGGCTCTAACACTCTTCAGTTCTTTGAAGGCCGAGAGATGCAAGGAAGTAACAGAAGAAAAGTTGGAAGCTGCAGGGATTGGTTCATGATGTTTAAGGAGAGCAGCCACCTCCTTAACATGAAAGTGCAAGGTGAAGCAGCAAGTGCCGATGTAGAAGCTGCAGCAAGTTACCCAGAAGATCTAGCCAAGATCATTGTTGAAGGTACCAACATTAAACAGCAGACTTTCAATGTGAACGAAACAGCCTTGTATTGGAAGAAGATGTCATTGAGGACTGTAGTCACTAAAGAGGAGAAATCAATACCTGGCTTAAAAAGCTAGACTGACTCTCTTGTTAGAGACTAATACAGCTGATGACTAAGTTGAAGCCAGTACTTTACCATTCTGAAAATCTTAGGGATTTTAAAAGTTATGCTAAATCTACTCTTGCCTGTGCTTTGTAAATGGAAAAATAAAGCCCGGATGACACCATATCTCTTTACTGGATGGTTTACTGAATATTTTAACCCCACTGTTGAGACTTACTGCTCAGAAAAAAAAGATTTCTTTTCAAATATTACTGCTTATTGACAATGCCCCTAGTCACCCAAATGTTCTGATGGAGATATACAATGAGATTAGTGTTGTTTATGCAGTAGCACAGCATCCATTCTGCAACCCCTGGATCAAGTTGTACTTTTGACTTTCAACTCTTACTGTTTAAGAAATGTATTTTGTAAAACCATAGCTGTCATATATAGTGATTTCTCTGATGGATCTGGGTAAAGTCTGTTGAAAACCTTCTGAAAAGGATTCACCCTTCTAGATTCCATTTAAGAACATTTGTGA